CTTTACTTTTTAAGATTATTGAATCTGTAGGTATAGAATATGTGGAGGGTCAAAGTGTACAAAGTTTTCAGCTTCAAGGAATATAAAACTGCAGTATAAGTACCAGTGCACTGTATTTGAGCAGCAACAGTTATCTTTGCCATATGAACATAATCTGTACAAAACCTGTTTTTTTGGTGAACACATCTTGGTTATTGGGATCCTATTGTAAACTGATGTTCTCCTTGGATTCCCCTTCTATGTGCTGATACTGTTGATTTGCTCTAAGAGCCCCCTGTGAAGCACAGATTTTCCTAAGACCCCCGTCAGTTTCATAGGCTTTTATTGTTCTCATTGTTTCCTTCCCTCAGAGGATGCCAGCCCCCATCAGACTCCGGGAGCTGATCCGGACCATAAGGACCGCACGGACTCAGGCAGAGGAGAGAGAGATGATCCAGAAAGAATGTGCCGCAATCCGATCCTCTTTCCGAGAAGAGGACAACACTTACCGCTGCCGGAATGTTGCCAAGTTGCTGTACATGCACATGCTGGGCTACCCTGCACACTTTGGACAGGTAGGCCCCTTTTGTGGGGATCTTGCTGCAGCTGCAGGATCGGGGTGAGAGTTAGGATGCAGTTGAACTTGGAGCAGTGGCCAGTTCTTGAATTTCCAGGCCTTTCGTGGTTTAGGGGAAGCCCTTCCTGGCAGCAATGGCCAGAACCCAATGCATTCTAGAGTGGGTGCATTGAACCAATGGGAACTTAATAAGACAGCATCTTCATAAGTTTCCTGGGCCTTTCTTTTTGCAACTGGAGGCATCCTGGGCTCCTCTTGAACTGCAGTGGCTACAGTGTGGGGACAGCGCAGCTCGTTTGGCCTGCGCCTTCCTTCTATTGTCCTGACTGGTTTCTGACTCTCAGGTGAAATGGATACCTTGGTGTAGAGCTTCCTCCTCCTCCGCTTAATCAACCAAGGGAGAGCTGCAGCCGGCTCAGGTGTCTGATCTCTGGGGGTGGGAAGCAGAAGGCGGCATTGAGGAAGCGGCTGGCTGGCTACGAGTC